AAGTATAAAAAGACGGGCAATTTCCAACCGTATCCCATGATTTTGTGCGATTCTAAAAACATCGCCGTTTTTTCTTGAAAATACAAGTAACAGTGGTAAATAAGAAGGCCGGAAATCGCAATCTTCAAAACAAAAAAGATGCGATTTTCCCTAAAAAAAGTTGCAATTTTGTTTAAAAATTGAATCATAATCGGGATCAGTGTCAGGATTTGATGGGTTTTTTGATAAAATACTGTAATTCAACAACACCACTACCCCTTTTCGTGGGAAAGAAAAAACGATCTAAACCAAGCCGAATTCGCTGCCTAAAAATGCATAAAATGGGACAGGTGACATCGCCGATTAGGCCACTCCTCCCCCCCCATCTATCTTTTCCATCTACCTTTCTCTTTGGTTGTTTACTGCCTTCTTGTCTTTATTAGGACTGCGAGTCTTTATGCAGTATTTAATAAATCATTCCAATTTAACGAAGAAAAAAGCACGGCCTACCTCCTCCACCCCACCAAAGACAATATAAAAGATCGGATGAGGCAAACAACGAAATCAGTGCACCGCGAACATACAACGCAGGTTGCGACAATCGATGAGGGAATTGCGAACGCAACGGTAGCTGGGATATCGAGTATCGGCAACAGTAAGGGACTCTTGGGAATGGCACCCGAGACGGATGGGCATACAGATCCATGTTTGAGCTTTTTTGTCAGGTGAAAGATGCTTCCGGGAACCTCTTTATTTTTTTATTTTTTTATCTGTCCTGTGCTCTTTCGGATGTCAGGTAATTCCTACCGTTACTCTGTCGCTGCATAACTAATTCTCTGGAACTTTTGCGGCTTAAATTTGTAAATTAGAAACAAGATTTCAGTGACCAGGTCAGATCTGCATGCTCAGTTGGTGAAAAACTGAAGGAGTGCAAACAAAGACAAGATCAGGAGGTAAGATGAGATAAGAGAGTAATGAACAGGCAAGAATATGAAACAGCAATTGATGGAAGCAGCAAGTAATGAACAGGTAGGAATTTATAACTGTATAATTCTACAACTTTTCTATTCCTTCTATTTGCTTACGGTCTTTCATTTCTTCTATTTCTTTCATTTCTTCTGTTTTCGATCTCTTTTATCTTAATTAATTCTATACCTCACTAAATTATTTTGTTACCACAATCGTCGCACTGACGAGGTCCAATTGTAGTAACGGTAAGAAATGTACACGACTTAATGGACCGAAACATTTCTTATCTATTATATATATTTCGTTAGACACCTTCCCCATCTTAGTACCCTTCCCCCCCTTTTCTTTGTTTTCTTCTTTTCTTGATATTTTCTCTTCAACCTTTAATAAGACGTTTCGGTTCATTAATTCATATACGTCTTGACTCAAGATCACGACAGGATCTCGTCAGTATGGCGGTTGCAGTGTCTACAGCAGAAGCAAAGATAAAAGAAGGAAACAAGGAAGGAAAAAAGAAGTAGCGGGGAAGGAGAGAAGAAAAGATGCTGGTATCAAAAGGTGGAAGAAGCAGAAAGTTCGCAAGCAAAACGTAAAAATGAATTATCAAATTTCGAAAGGAAAAGCGAACAAAGTATAGGGCACTAAATGAGCAATCAACGTTTTAAAGATCGCAAAAATTACAATTTTTTAATACAATTTCCGAAGTAAACCTGTATATCTGAGCGTATTGGCTGAAATTCGCCAGCAATATAAGTAGCACTGTAAACAAGCGCAATTAAGCTCACAACCGTCTGCAGTATAATATCCAACGGTAATCGTGTGAACGGCTGCTCTGTCAATCGCAAATAAAATCGATGCTGAAAAACAAAGGTTCATTTTTTTGCAAATTTTCTACACTATAGACAGAATAACAAGACCGTCCGGGCAATCGATGTGGGAATTCGATGTTAGCGAGATGTTACATGCGTGACAGAACTTTCGACCCCAAGTTGCACATTTCCAATGACTGCAACCTGTTTGACGTATGTGCGCCACCTCTTCAGAGACCGTGCAAATGGTTCAGACACGAACTTTCCCATTCACATACGCAAATAATTTATTTTGGTGGTAGGCCAGCTATGCTTTAGAGCGGTAAATGTTCGCACCATCGACGCATCCAGTGAATCAAAGTACCTATTGCCGATGATTTTAGCATCTGATTTTTAGCTTTCTTCCTTGGTTTTTCCGAAAAGAAACAGTGGATGACTGAATCAAATTTTACCCGCTACACGTACAATTCTCCAACTCTCAACTGTCGATATCTAGTAGACACGCTTGAAAATGCTTATTAATATCCAAAAACAGAACTGGACTGGCAAGCCGTGGACCGCGAAATACCTTTAAAACTTCAGTGTTCCAGCTTTTCAGGTTGCCAAGTTAGCAATTTTCCCGACAAAAACTTCACGTATCGGTACGTGAGAACCACACACACCTAGGGGCTGAATTTGAAATCTTTCGCTCATACATACATAGAGAATATCCCTGCAAAGTTTCAGTTCTCTATCCTTCCTGGTCCTCGAGATTGTTTGCACGCCAAAAAGCTGCAAATTCTTTTAAGGCGTCCATGCGAGACCCCCAAGCGCACGCAGGTGATGATATTAAAACGGGAGGGTCGCACATGGTGTGGGCACACAATCCCAAAGTTTCAGCCTTCTAGCTTTTCTGGTTCTTGAGTTGAAAGTAGGTAATAAAAAGCAAACACACAAGCACTCACACACAGCCTCTTGCCAATATGCATTTTTGCTTCTGCATATGTGTGAAAACGCGTAAAAAATCCCTAATAACTAAAATCGTGCCACGTCGCTGCACGAAAAACACCTCCATCCTATTTCCAGCACAAAGCAAACGAAATTTTGGGCAAACCTGTGCAGCAGAATATGCGCAATGAAGAAGTGATAGAAGCCCCGCTATACAGACGGCTCGCAGTAACGATAAACCGGTTGGATTCATCGAATTGGTCCCTCCACAAAAACAATCCCCTTTCGGAAATCACTCAATTCCCCATCGGACACGTGCACGTTGCGTAGGCCTTCGGGATCAACCACTCCTGCAATTGCGTTTTCAATCAAATTTCTGATAGTTATAACACGTGCACCTACAGCGTAGTAGGCATTGCCCGCGACTGTGAAGACCAATAACGCATCTCCGGGTGGTATGAAATTCCCAAGCTTTCTTTTTTAGAAAATGAAAAAAGAGCAGTCTACATTGAGCCCAAAAATTAACGACTAATTCCAAGTAATCGTGGATTTTAAAAAACTTTAAATTCCACTGATGTAATTTTTTGTACCGGCGGCAAATCACCGACTTTTACTGAAATTTTGAACTCGTTTTCACGCAATATTTATCAAATAAAGCTTGACAAGGC